AGCTCAAGACACCAATGAAAGGGACAAAATATCTGGCAGTCAAGCCATTTAATAATCACTCAAAAGGTGCCCAAAGGAGAATGATATGAATGAAAAGAACTAAAAAGGACTAAAGAGAAGCTGGAGGTGGGGTTAGGGGTTTACTGACTACAGCAATGATTCTGACAGAAAAACAAACCTTCACTGTGATCATGTCACTAAAGTGTGAAGTAAAAACCATCCTCTCTGAAAAGATGGCACTGATAGTTAATCATCTGACACAAAAACACTGCTGCACATAAAGGTATGCTGGCCCCAGCTAGGCTTCTTTCTTGATCACCTGGGGGCTTACCTTGCTTTTTTCCTAATAGTTTTGTAGAACTGGAAAATACTGAACAGACAGACAAGGGGGCATGTAGCCCCTTCAGCATCTACCAGACCCGATTCTAAGAAGTCAGACAAAACAACAGCCTTCCATTCCCATTTCCAAACAGCAAACTGCCTTTCACAGTAACAACTGCTTTGCTCTTCATAACTCCAATAAAAAGCCAAGCTACTCATCCTCAGGTGGCATTTTTTCTTCCTTTCAAGCCATCTCTTTCCTCCCTTGGGAAGCAAAATAAACTTGCTTTAAAACCTACCTTATTATTTGAGTCAAGAATTCTTTCTCAGCCCATGGTGTAAGCACCCCTAATACTCTATGCATCAGAGAATTCTGTCAGGAAAATTACACTCTCCCTCACCCCCAAAATGGACTCTTCATTCTAAAATGAGTACTCAGGATGCAATTAATTTAATTTTACAATTTGAGCTGTTTTTCAAAATAAAGTCCCAATCAGATTATTTTCCCACTATTAACTATGAAATGTTGATCCCTGGTTCACATGGATTCACTCTGAGTGGCCTTTTTCTAGAAGCCACTATTTCCAGACAATGAGATTTCTTGTTCACTTTTCAGCTCAGCAGAATTTTCAAACTGCGGCTATGAGGATGGTGAGATGATTCAAAACCACATCATGGGAGAAACAACAGAAGGAAATGGAGGAAGCCTGGAGCAGAACACCCTTAGAGGAGACCATGCAGCTGTGTCCACAGGCTGAAAAGCAGAACTAGGGCCAGGTGGAAACAGTACAGTCATTGCCCTTCAATTTAACACAAAACTAACAATTGAGTTGCCCAAAATCTTGATGCTTTGCTTGAGAGACATGAGTTTCTGTCACTAGAGGTGTTGAAATATTGATTAGCTTTAAGTCCGGGAGTGTCTAGCACAGGTGCCTCCCCCTTCAGAGCTCACAGCTAATCAAATGCCTTCCCCTCCCCTAATATAGTGTTACTCAGTCCCTTCCCCCATCACCCATTGATCTATTTATTCGAATATTTACTGAGTCCCACACTCAGGGCCAGGCACTATTCTAGGAGCTGAGGATATTTCAGTTAATAAAATAGAGCAGAATCTTTGCCCCTAAAGTCCTTCCATGGTGGAAAGTCAATTCCACCATATTCTGAAGATAACAGGTACAGGCAAATGAGGGTACTGGTCAGAGTAAGGTAGACTAGGAAGGGAATGAGGATGGAATTTTAAACAGGGTGGTCAAGACAGGCCTCAATGACAGGGTGACATTTGAGGGGCCTCATCAAGAGGACAGAATAAGTGAGTTCTAGGAATATTAATTGCACTGGGGGCTAACCAAGTGGCCACTAGTCTGATCCTATCCCTGCCATGTATTTCTGAAATCACTTCCTTCGCAGTGAGCCTTTATAATTGTGCTTAAGCGAAAAAGAAATACAAAGGCCAAGGAGCCCCTGGTCTGGGGGACACCTGGACCCAGGCCTTCCCCGTATCAGAGCAGAGTCCTTGCCCCCAGCATCATTTATCATTACCACTTTTCATGCATGGGAACCCGGCCTCCCATGGAGCTGCCAGAGACAACAGACTTCCCACAGGCTCCATCTTCATTCAAACTGCATATTGCCCAGATTCTAAAAACTATGAAGAGTGGGAGGGTTGCAAAGGTTTATTTCAGAAAATTGGCAGCCAGGGATTGTCACATCTGTTGGAATTCCAGGGCATGACAAAACATTTGGCAAAAGATAAAAAACACTGTTAAACATAACTTGGTTCTAATTTCAAGAATCAAAATATACAGGACTTCAGAAAAATACTCAGTAATTCTTTTATTTTCCCTAGTTTCAAAAGATAGTATTCACTTTCCAATCATCTCTCTCTAAAAGATGACCTCTCCTTTTTCCAAAGTAGAGCTGTTCTTCTGTTGAACAACGTTGAACTACAAGGCAACCTGGCTAAAGAGTTTCCAGCTTTTGGTCCCAGGGAAGGATCAGAAAGATTATGAGGCTGGTTCCTTCAACAAATGAGTCCATCCCTCAGTGAAGGGAAGCAGAACCTACAGCAGTCGTGCTGGTGAATTAATTTCATGCTAAATTGTACACCACACACTTACAAGCTCATTTCAATACGGGCTGAGTTCTTTAAACAAATATTAAGTGTATTTCAACAGTATCAAGGACCCAAGCTCTAGAAAGAGGCTGCAGTGAAACAATATCTAGAAAACAGTGCATTCTAAAGAATAGCCCCAGGAGGGGCATATATAAGCTCAGGGCCTAATTACCCCCCAGGCTCAACAAGTGCAATCAGAAAGTGTAGCAACAGTCAAGTGAAAACCACTGTGACCTGTGAAACTTGGGACAAATTATTTCACAGCTTCCATTTGAAATAAAAAATGAGGATAAAAGTAATTGCTAAGAAGATTAACAAATTAATATCTATAAAGTGTCTAGAACACTACGTGGCACAGGGTAGGCACTGTAGGAGTGTTTGCTTTCAATACATGAAAATACATTTGCAGTTTTACGTCTAACAACAAGTAAATTTCTATAAAGAGATAGTGAAGCAGGGGAGGAAGCCCTTCTCAAAGCAGTTTTTATATCCCTCCCCACTCAAGGACCTCTCACTAACATAAAACCCCCATGCGTGAACCCACATGGTATCAGAGGGACAGGGAACCAGAGGGTGAGACAGACTGGGACAGCGACTGCCACAAGGCCTCCTGAATTCCAGGTGGTGTATGATGAACTACACGGCGAATTTATACTTTTAAACCAGCTCAAGCAGAATGAAGACATAAGCAAATGTCCCAGGTAGCAGCCGCAGTCAGCCATCAGAAGCGAGAAGTCATCGAATAGCTTCCTCCACATGAAGGGAACCCCTGGCCTCCTCACAGGCTCCACAGCTGTAACTGCACATTTATGTATGTGCCTCCGGACTTCAAAAGCATCAAAAGTATTCTGATAAAATACATTCAGGGCAAACAATTCAAGATGCAAAACCTCAGATACAAATCTCATGTAATAAAATTCCAAGTGATGAATTATAAAGGAATTTCCTTAATTCCTGAGAGAGACATTTCTCTACCACAGATGAAGTGTTTAGGGTTATCACCCTTTAAAAGCAGTTTACACCACACTACCCCCTTGAAAACAAAACTGCCAATCACCCAGTTATTCCACTTTGTGAAAGCATCATCTTAGTCACTGAGGTTGCAGCTGTATGTCACACTTCTGCCTGTAAGGTTGTTCCAACCTTTTAGACATAATCTGAACTCCTATTTAAGATGACAGATAAATTTCTATGCAATAAATCAGCTATTTTGGAAAGAAGTGAGTCCGCAGGCCATTCATTTAGGCTCAGAGCAGGGCACAGTTCCCCACAGACTGGAGGCCTGGGAGAGATGGGTGGCACCCACTACAAGGAAGGGAACGCTCAGTAATTTCATTACTGATTTTCAGCACTGATTTTTTACAGAAAGGATTACAAGTGTAGGCACAGATGCATTCAGGTACACACACATTTGTTTTCATGCAAACAGGGCTCTCTGAGTCACTTCTCTTTTGTTCCCCAGGGCTAATCACTGAGAGGATGTGATTCCTAAGGTCTTAAAATTCTGAACAAACGGAAAGAATGCAAGTGGAGGAGGCACTCCACAAAAACATTAAATACTAAGCTGGGCGGGATATTTCCAAAAACAGGAAGTCTTGGCTATGGCAGAGACTGGAGCAAGGAGAAACTTCTCCATCAACCTTCTCAAGAGAACTAAGACTTTTCCTCCAACATTTTGTAACACTTACTCTACAATAAATGAAGACAACGAAGTAGTCATTTCCAGCCTAATCTTCAACTATTAAGGGAAAAGGTTTATAACTTTCTAAAACAGAGAGGACGGAAGAGACGTAAGTTACTCTTTACCCACTGACATTGACTTGATTAACGCAAACTTCCTTCAAAATAATGAAGCTGAGGAGGGAGTCGAACAAACCCTAACTCAGACCCTGAACCCCAGAATTACACTAGCTCCCATTTTAAAGGACCTGCTTGAGGAAGAAGCAGGGTGGCCGCATCAGAGAACGCAACTTTCCAGCCAGGACCAGTCCCACGAGGGCGGCAGTCGCCCGGCACTCCCTCGATCCGCACCAGCTCCCTCTTCGGCACCAGCGGCGCGCCCGCCACCGACTCCCCGTGGGATTTTCTGCCCGCACCTGGAGACTCTGCGCCTCATTTTCACACACAGTAATGTTTCATTTTCGTGCTCTTCTCTGCTGTTCCTCCCGCATTCCCACATTTCCAACAACCGCCCCGCCCTTGCGCCCGGGGGACGCCGCGCCAGGAGACCCCGCACCCCGGCCCGCGGCGGACAGGGCCGCGCAGCTCACAAAGGTCAGTCCCGGACGCGGCTGACCTGAGCCAGGAGACAGCAATGAGCCCTAAGGAGGGGGCTGGGGCGGGGGCGGGGACAGAAGGGGAAGCACAGAAAGGGGCCGAGGACGGGCCGCGGGAGCCTCCCTGGCACCGGCGTCCCTACACCTTCCAGCGCGGGACGCACCAGGTCCGCGTGGCTGCGGGTCCCGCCGCTCGGCCACGCGGGCGCTCCCAGAAGGGCCTCCCCGGCGACCTCAGGCCGCGCCCGCCCCGGCACCGCGGCGCCCCGCCGGCCGCGCCCAGGCCCTACCTCCAGGAGCAGCCCGAGCAGCAGCGCCGCCACCCTCCCAGCCCTGCGGCTCATGGCTCCTCCGCGTCCTCCCCGGACGCCGGGGTGCGGGCGGCGGACTCCAGCCGGCAGCCAGCGGCCGGCGGGCGCAGAGGACCCAGCGGGGAGCGGGCGGGGAACCGGGACGCGCCGCGCAGCCCCGGCAGCTCCGCCCCGCCGGCGCTCGCGCCCGACACGCCCGGCCAGGCGCGCACCCGCGGGTTCCAGGAACCGGAGGCCCGGCCCCAGGCCCGGCTGCGGGAGGCTGGGGGCCCGCGAGGCCGGGGTGCGCGCGCCGGGGCGGGGCAGGGGCTGCGCGGCGTGGCCAGCGGGGGCGGAGCTGCCGGGCGCCCCTCCCCGGAGGGAGACCCGGGACGGTTTTGCGAGGCCGGGTTTCCGAGGTGGGGATTGTTCCGAGGGAGGTGGCTGTGGACAAGCCCGGCGCTCTGAAGTCGCGCCCTCCCTCGCGTTTCCGCGCCCGCCCAGCGGCGCGCCAGCCCGCGTGCGACGGGAAGGGCAGCCTAAGGCGAGGAAAGGCCACCGAAATAGAAGGCTCCCTCCGCCTCCCCTCTCGCTTAGATGTTGGCATGTTTTATGCCAGCATCCTCCTGCCCTGACCGTCCTTGGGCTTCACCACAGTTGCCGCCCCCCAGTCCCCAAGTCTCCCACACAGAGAACTGCTGCTGAGTGTGCAGTGTCACTGCTGGCCACCCCACTTCCTCGAAGTCACCATTTTTTCACAATACAGCTCAGATGCCACTTCATTCATAAGGGTTTTCAACAAGCATTTGTTGGACTTCAGATGGACTGGGCCCGAGCTGGAGGCCGAGTATGTGGAGGTGAACGAGAAAACTGCACCAGGAGTCTAGAGAGAGTCACTCAAACCACCATGCTGCTTAGTGCAGGGACCAGGAGGTGTGAGGGTAACAGAGTAGCTTAAAGGACATTAACTACCTGTAACGGGAAATGGAAGGAGTTGGGGCATGGAAGCAGGTGTCACCTGAGGAAAGGCCCACTTTCCCAGACTTCAAAGCACACACTCATTTGTCGAACATAGAACTGGCACCACCGGACTACATTTGTTAGAACCAGAGCTTGCTTGCCAAGTAAGGCAGAAAGGGTGCCTGTGGCCTTCATTGTCATGCTAGGGCGCCATCTGACAAGCCTGCCAAATATCGTTGGACTGGAGTAACTTTGATTCGCTATTTACAATGAGAGCGTTTTACAACTCTTATTAAGGGAGAAGTTAACTTGTAGAAAACTAAGTTGAAAGCTTGGAAGAGACACAAGTGTTTTCTCCCAATGGCAATGTAAGTGATTTGGTCCTATAAAAACGCAAGGCTAGGATAAGAACCATAACCAGTTTTCCATCTAATTTATCAACCATATTCCAAGAGGTTTTTCCCCCCTTTTTTCACTAGCTACATACATGTCAGTTGCCTGCATTCTCCTTTGAAGCAGCTTTGTCATCCTACTAGTTCTCCCTTTAAGGGATTAAAATTGAACTTTGGTGTTTGTTCACTATGTATTGATATGCAAACTATGTTTCTGTTACATTTTAAACAATACACTAATGCCAAACATAACCTCCTTCCTGCCTCTGTATCTCCACCAAGAAGAGTGTTTTGCTGAGTTCAACTTCTGTAATTTGTATAAATTTTTTTCAAAGTGTAAAACTAGAATGTTGCCTATGCTTTCCCCTCACGCTGAAACCACTCCTATGTGCTCTCTGTCTGGTCCTGAGTGACTGGTCACAGTTGGAGAATAGGGGAAGAAGCCACCCAGGCTGCTTCCTTGAGCATAAATTATAAGGACATCAGATGTCACTGAAAAGAGTAATAAGATGAAGACTGTATTCACTAGAACAGCTCTCAGGGAGAGTATGACTTGGGGTTAGAAGAAATTCTCCAATCAGTTGTTTGGGACAGGACTGCACACTCTTAGGTCTGCTCAGCTACCCCTAAGGAATGAGGACCCAGCACCTGGGCCATTTATGTTGCCCAAGGAAACAAATAAAAGAGAGACTGGGCTTGACCTTCTGCTGCCTTGCAAAGCTCCATGGAGTCCACCTGAATGATGAACATATGTTCATTCATTCAGCAAATACTTACCTATACCTGCTGTGGACAAGGCACCGTACTGGGCATTGAGGATACAGCAGAGGACAAAATAGACAAAGGAGTGGCAAAGAAAGGCAGAGTGGCAGCCCTCACATAAACTTCAATCTAGGGAGAAATGACACAACAGAATAAATAAATAAATGTGTGTATGTCAGATGGTGGTAAGTGCCAGGAGGAAAAATAAATTGAGTAAAGCATTTAAGAGTTATGGCTGAGTGTTATTACAAACAGGAGGGGCAGGTCAAACCCCTACGGCAAATTTCCAGGAGCAAAGACACAGAGGTGGGAAAGGACCTAACCAGACTCAACTCAAAGGCTGTGAGGCAGGGCAGCTGGAGCCCCGGGATAGTGGAGGACAGGATATCCCAGACAGGATAGTGGAGCTGGAGCCCTGTGCTGCCCTATAGGTTGTAGGACCTGAATTCGAAGAGGAAATAGGGGCCCAGACTTGTAGTTTGTTGTAAGGATTTTGTATTTAGTACTGAAAGAAATGGGATGTCATTTGAGGATTTTGAGCTGAAAAGTAACATAATTTGGCCTGAGCTTTAGAAGGATCGCACTGAATGCAGTGTAGAAAATAGACGTGGGCAGGGCTGAGAGGAGGGCAGAGAATGGAAGTGCACTGAGGGGACCCATGGCTGCGGTCATCACACTCCTTGGTCTCTGCACTCAGCACTCTGTGTCATGGTTGTTTTAAGTGACTAGCTTTCCATCTGGTATCCAGGCAAGGGATGAGGTGAAGGCTCCTATCTAAAGGGTGACTTTGATGATGAGTATAGGAAACTAACACGTAGCTGTTCTGATTTTTTTAAAAATTACAAAAATCTCCAGAGTGTTATCCTATGCATCACATCTGCAGGATGTTGCCCAAAGGTTAACAGGAATCAGGTTTCAGGAATCCTATACTAGAAGAGCTGCAAGAAAGGCCTGACCCATTCAGGTAAACAAAATTAAAAGCTCAGAAGAGCTAATAAAAAGTAATGCGGGTCTGGACAGGCTAGGTGAGGGTTATCTTAAATGCCTTCTTAAAAGCGGGGGTGTAGGGGGCGCAGGGTGTGGGAGGTTAGAGTGAAAGGAACCAGCCAGGCCTAATTTCTAATTTCAACAGACACAGAAGGAAGCCTGAGAAATTCTGGGAAATGAGGCTGCCATAAATTCTCACTTTGGGCAGGTCTACTCCCAGGAAGAAAACTGAGAATAAACCCATCACAAATCTCCTCTGTGGGTACAGTTTCTTGGTCATGAAGAAGAGGGGAAAGACCACTACCACTTGCATAAATGTACATTTTCACAAACTTTCTTATCTTCCCTTTTTTTCTCCTGAAGCCCCACTTATTTGTCTTTCCTAAAGACACCCATGTGTTTTTCTTATAGAACAAATTTCTCCCCTTTCTACTAGGTTAGGTATACTGTATAAGCCTCTAACCTTAACCATTTAGTAAGCTAAATTCTTCCTGTTAATCTTTCTTTTGCCATTATGCCTACTTATTATGCCTTTTCTCTTAATTTTTTAACTAAAACAACAGAATTTATTAAATGCTAGGAGCAGGAGAGGCAATTTTCAGTAATAAATCTTATACTATACTGTAAGTACCCTTTGAATATGATATAGAATTAAATCATTCAGCAACTCTGGAAAGTAAATATTACGCCTTTTTCACACATTAGTCACTCACCATTCAGAGATAAAAAGTAACCTCCCAAACCTGTCACCTAGTAAATGGTGCAGCTACTCTGAGCTTCATCTGGCTCCAAAGCCCATACATCCTCTCTACGCTGATAGAGAATTTCCCTTGAGAGCAGTAACCTGGGTAAAGCATTTTCAAACTCATGAAGTCTTAGGTAAGTTCACTGTAATACTGAAGCATGTAGACTTTGGTAAGGCCTTGTTTCACCATGTGGGCGTGGTTTTCTGTCTTCTCCATTCAAAGGACAATTATAGCCATACTTTTCTTTGGCTTTGTTGGGTAAAGTTACTCTCAAGTAATAACCAGAACCAGGGTGTTCTGTTCAATAGGATTTTCTCTGAGCTTCATGAGTGAATGTCCTTGGATTCATGTGTGACAGCAAAGACCTCAGATATGTTTTCTAATGACCAGAGAAAGCTGGTATCTCTGCACCAGGCAAGAACATCTCCACTCCATGAGTGTTCCCCACCCATTTCATTTAGAATCAGAGCAGCAGTCTTTTGTTCCTGCAGCCTGCAGCCACAGGGTCTGGCATTTCCAGTTCAGTCAGATGAAGGCTTCTAAGGTGTTTTAAAGGACAAACAACATGACGATTCAGTGGGTGCCTCTCTCTGTTTCACAGTTGGAATCTAACATAGCATTGACATATTTCTGTTTTATAACCTATATTCCTTCTCCTGCCTAAAAACTAAGCTGTGATCACTTAGGTGCATGTGTACCTCAGATTCATTTTGTATCCCTGCAACCTGGCACAATGACAAGAGTTGAACAAATATTAAAGAAAGAAAGAGTACATGAGAGAAGTGAGAAAAAGAAAAGAGGTTAAGAGTATGGAGTTTTAGAAATGTGGCTTTTAAAGTTCTGCTAAATTCCCTCCTAAGATATCTCTTTGTTAAATTCACAATCTTAGTGAAATGTCTATATTATTACTTTGAACCAAAGATTAAAATGTTCGGAAAGATTTTGTTGTCAGAGCTTTAGAAACAGTTTAGCAGATAAAATCCACATTAATAATCCATTAAAAATTATGCTATTAAAATTGGGCCAAAGCCTAAGTATAGCCTTTTTCCTCCTGTTGTCCTCTAGTGTCCCCCTGGCCACTCTTCAAAGCCCAGGTCTGCCCTAAGGGTCACTGGATGAGCTGTGTACACTTGATCCAGTGTTTCTTGGTTGTTTGCCTTGATATGATAGTTTCTGATTAACATCTGTTCTGTCACATCAGTTCCTTAATGCTATTTTTCACCTTTATATGTCTCCCACATATAAACTTAGAAAAAATCACTATGCTGTATAGCCACTGATTCTTTCTTCTTTTTTTTCTGCTCAAGCAAACTCCTCATTAAGGTCATATCATTTCAGGACACT